TGACAGCAGAGGGTGGGGCGATCCTACTGCAGCGAGGAGCAACTGAGACACCCGCTGGTAAGGGCCTGCTTGGAGACAGGGCTCACCACAGTGCTGGAGCAATGCTGGGTGTGGGAAGGGAGTGGTGCAAACGACCATTGTCTTCCACAGGGTACAGAGTGCCCTAGCTACAAGTTTACACAGCTTGAATGGGATCAATTAGGTCTGGAGGCAGAGCTCTCCGTTCCCAGCAACTGGAGATGGTGCTCGAGTCCTAGAACGGCTAAAGAAAAATTAAAAAAAAGGGAAAACATCTGAATTAATCCCATTCCTCTTATCTCAAAAAGTCTCGGGCAGACCCCAAAGGTGAGGAGAGCAACTCCTGCTCCTGTGAGACATGAAAACGCTCTCTTATTTTTTTCTTTCCAGGGCTGGTGTATAACAGAGACATGAGAGTCCGTACGGTGAGCATTGCTCTTCTGATGTGCCCCCCTGCTGCTTCTGAGCCCCTGAGCTTACAGAAAGCTCAGAGATAGTGGAGGCCCGCTCACTGAGCCCAGGCCTCCACCCAACTGTTTACTCTCTGCTTCCCTAATTCCCACATCTCTTTTAAATACTACTGTTAGAAGAGCCTGCACTCGATCATTAACTGACTCAGCTTACGGAGTCACTGGAAAATGTTACAGACTTTTTTAGCAGTTCCTCTGCCCCAGGGCCTCCTGGCCACATTTTCCTGCTGTTAAACTCTTCAGGCAGCAGACGGATGGATGCTTTAGGTCAGCTTCTTCAACAGGTCACCCATATAAGAAGGAGAGAGAGATAGTGGAGCAAAGTCCTTATTTTTGGTATTTTGATAGCTCTGTGCCGCTTTTGAGCAAGTAGGGCCTCCTCTACCTGTGCTACTGCCAGGCTGCGAAAGCCAGAGCAGTGTACTGTCTCCTTTTTAGTAAAAGGATTTTTAAAGCTTCTCTCTGCTATGAGATCATTCCCATATGTGCTGCATCCCAGCAGGCAGCGTTGTTGGCAGCCCTGAAACGCAGCTGGACAGAAGGAGCCTTTGCAGAGCCAGCTACTCTTGTGCGCAGCCTGGCCGCCTGTCATGTCCCAGCACAGCAGCTTTGGGGCCACAGCCACTTCTGCCTTCAGAGCTGCTAGTGCAGCAGGGGTCAGGGACACCCTCTGCTCCCAGCTGCTGTCCCTGACCTTTGCCGCTCTCTCTATCTTTGCACCTGCAGCAGAGTCGAGAGTCCTTCACGGTGGAGCAGTGTGTGAAGCTCCTGCAGAAGATTCAGGACCGCGTTCTCATCATTATGTGAGTGAGGCACAAGCCAAACCAACCCTTGCTGCCTCCCTGCAGGCCTCGGTAGAGGGGATGGAGGTTAGAAAGGAGTCCTGTGCTACTCCCTCCTCTGCAGTGACCAACCAGACCTTTGGGCCAGTTGGCACAACTGTACAGCCTCATTTGTGAGAAGCATTTGCCAGTTCCTCACCAGTGCCCTGGCCTGGCAGGCTCCTGGAGCAGGCAGAGAGCAGCTGGCACATCCTCCTCCTGGCCTGGCACTGCATTTTCAGACCGGGTGTCCCTGGTGCAAGGCCGATCAAGGAAATGCCTGACTGCCCTGTTCTCCCCATGCTCATGCCTTCACACTGCTGTCCCATGACTTTCTGTCCCTTGGCCCCTCACTGTGGGGCCATCCTGGCAAACATGCAACCCTCCACAGCACCACTTCTACTTGCTTTTCTCCTGACTCTTTCCCCCAGCAACCCAGCCTGCCCCCTTCTCCAGACCCCGAAGCCTCTTACCTGAGCAAACCATGGCAGCCTCCACCTCCTCCAGCTGGTCTTGAAGCCCCAGCCTGACCCAGCTCTTGCAAGCTCTCCCCTGGGTGCCTGGGGCATGGAGGTAGCCAGTAGCTTGTGCAGAGCCCCACAAGCTGTTAAGCTGTCCGGATGGGTAGCTGGTTCTGTTGGTCCTCCTTTGCATTTCGCCCCCCCCATCTCCTTGGAAGGCCAGAGGTGCAGGGCTCTGCCTACCTTGGCCTGTGTGGTGCTGTTAAAAGACTCTCTAGGAAATGAGAGGAAGTGCTACAAGTTGAGAAATGAGGTGCAGTTTTGGCTTCCCTTGTCTGTTGAAATCATAAGAGCTTAAGGATTTTCCTGCTTGTCCAGAAATGCAACATCATGGTAAGGATAAGTTCTCTAGGCCATGCAGAGCACATGCCTTTGAGCCTGGGATGTCACCTTGTCCCATCATCTGCAGCACAGTAGGAGACAGCATGATCTTAACTCTGCATGCGGTCTAATCCTGGCTTCTCCAGGAGGACTGCCATGGTACCTCCCTCTCCAAGCAGGGCGCAGCCTGCACAGAGTGGGGCAAGGGAGAGAGGGGAGATGCAGAAGCTGGCTGGAAGGAAAAAAGGGCAGAAGACAGGGTGGGGGCAGGGAGTGATGCACTCTGATCAGTGAAGGAGCCACCCCGGGGGATAATATTTAACCTGTCTTCACTCTGATACTACTAGGCAGTCACCCAAAGTTTTAAAGATAGTTTGATAGAAAATAGCTGCTTAGCAAAGCTTTGTGGTGCTCCTCTGGCTACCATGTATGATCCTGTAACCCTGCTGTTTACGAGCAGCCTGGAAAGAGCATTTGGGTTTGTTGCCCCACTGTCTTGGGGACACTGCTTCTGCCCAGGACAGCAGGAAAGACAAACAAAGGCACACCGTGTGCTGTACTAAGCCTTGCTGTTGCTTTTCAGAGCACAAGATGGACTGTTGGTACCACACAAGCTGCACAGCAGAAATCACTTTGTGAAAGCCCTGCGAGGGGCATTCGAGTCTACCCTCAAAGAGGTGAGAGCAACCTCCAGCCTTGTATCTCCTACTCTATGTACCAACCTGAGAGCAGCAGCTGGGCAGTAGCTTACTTTGGTGGACACCGCCACTAGGTGATTTGTCCTTAACAGCACACACCTCACACAAGGGAATTTTGCCCCTAATACCAAAGTCCCAAGTCGGTACTGCCCTCGGGACCCAGCTCTTCCCTAGTCCTCCCATCCCTGTCCCACCTCACCCCCACCACAGCAAGTGCCACACAGCTTGCCCAAGGGAACGCTTTCCTGGTCCACATCTTCTTGTGTCCTCTCTCTCCAGCACATCCAGCTAGTAGAGGTACCTGGGAGTCATTTTGTGCACCTGAATGAGCCCAAGGTCGTGTCTGGGATCATCAGCAACTTCCTGACAGCGCAGAATGCCAGAGCCAGGCTGTAGGAAGAAGAATCACTGCTGCAGCGATCCAGGAGAACAGGGACCTAAAAAGTAGGCTCTGGAGGAATTGTCACCATTCCTACCTCACATCCAACATCAGTTTCATGATACCCTTCCCTAGGCTTAGCTCACTGCAGGGTGGAAGCAGGTCTGATGGGCATTCCCTGGAGGAGAGCTGAGCAAAACATCTCAGTTGTCAAAGGCAAAAGGAATCCTTCCTCCACTTCCAGCTCTGTGAATACAGGGATAGAGGCCCAGAGCAGCCTTCCCCTTGCTTGGTCCTAATTTGCATCCTGAAATGGAGCAGGAACACAGGTAGGGCATCCTCTATGGGAACAGCAGCAACACCAGCTGCAAGAGGTAGGTGGCTTGTCTCATCTCCTCCCCGAGGATGGTGTGACCAGTCTCCTGCCTGAGCCCAGAGGGCCTCAGTGTCTCTGTTCTACCATGAGAGCTGCTGCTTGTTTAAAAAGTCATCTTAAATCAGAACTCACCTGGGCACAGAAGGCCATTTTAATGAACTCCTAGGGAATGAGTCACTAATCCTCTACCTGAAGCAGCTGGGAGAACTACTAATAATGGAAGAGTTGGCAGAGGTGATTTCTGTCCTTCTAAATAAAGATTAATCTCCCAATGTTAACTCTGTCTTCTTGACTGTATAGGAGAATGAACCTCCTTTCTTTTGGGATGCTCAGCCAAGCAGCTAAAATGCCAGTCTTAGGAGGCAGTGATTTTTTACATGCATTCTGCTTTAGATAACAGCATATTAAAGACCCATCTGCCTCCTAGTTAAATTGATAACAAAAAGCCGAATAAAGCAAGCAGGCCTGGCACTCTCCCCATGCAATGGAAACTGCATTTGCAGTGGGTTTTCTAGGGGAGGGTAAATCTGTTTTAACCCAGCTCTGTGGAATTTACCAGCATTTCCAGTTCATGTTCGTGGTCCCACCTGTACCGAGGCTGCCAGCAGTAAAATAGATGTGGAGCCTGGGGGTCCATGGATTACAGCCCCTTTCTGATAACAGTGTGTTTGGGTGACAATCACAAAGTCTGAGGCTGCAGAAGTGTGTGGGCAGTACAAAAGCATTGCCCCACAGCTGCATGTGCCTGTTGCCACCCCTACCTGCCTCCTATGGGCTGGTGACAGGTTAAGTGGAAATGGGACTTGGCCAGAGACTGGTTTCTCCCTCCAAAGCCAGGCTGCTGTCTCACCTTGTTCTAGTGACAGTGCTGAACAGCAGAAGTTCCCATAGCCCTGGCTATAGAGGTCCATGCACAGCTGGGCACCTCAACACCTGGCTGAGGGGGAGCTGCCTGGGAGGGAAACACGGAGGGAAAGGGGTAGGGCTCTGCACCACACCACTGATCTTTGCTTGTGACAACAGGTCTGGGAACTTCTCAGTTGGGCTCTTCCCAAATTTGCCTCCCTCCTCTTCTTACTTACCCCCAGATAACATGCGCCAAGGAGCACAGGCATACAAGCTGCGACTTTAATCACCATCCCAGCACGCAAGCAGCTGTCCCTCACAGCAGATCACCAGAGAGAGGCATTTCTATGTTCTGAGAACATAGCAGCAGTTTATTTACAGTTCTTCAGCCATTCTCTGCCCCTGCAGAGGCTGTGCCAGGTCAATCCCAGCTCTCACCAAGCTTTAGGAGGGCCTTGGGTGACAGGAAGATAAAGGTTGTCACAGGAAGTGGCTCAGCCCCTTGACCTGAGCACCCTGGGAAGTGGTGCCGCAGGACTGGATATGGCTGGGAGAGCAGGAAGATAACCGTGCGATGAAGGAAACTCCTCCTCCAGTGGCAGTTGCTGGGATCTCCCGCTTCAGATCCAAGGGCAGGGACAACCTGAAGCTGCCTCAATTCCTTGAAATCCCTTGGCACATAGAGTCCATAGGCATCTCTCCCACCCTCTCCAGTACAGACATCTAAGAAAATAGCTCAGCACAGCTTAGTACGGCCGAAACTTGCGCTGGGCTCGCATCAGCGCAATTCTCTGCTTGTCCTCCTCAAATTTCTTCCTCAACTGGGCGATGTCTGAAAGAGGCAGAAAGAGGACAGGTCACAGGGGAGCAGCAGATCTCCCTCTCCTGGGAAGCTTCACTTCCACACACCAGGAGGGGCTCAGTCCCAACACCCACAGCATTTCCCACAGCAGGTCCTCCTGCGCCTGGGCTGAGTGCCAAGCTGGGGCTCTGGCCGTTCATCTCCAGCAGTGCTGCAGCTCCCTCTTGGGGAGGAAACAGGCTAGTTTCCCTCTTCAACTGCTGCCTTTGTGCAGCCTGAAGAAACACCTATTGGAAAGCCACGACCTGCACACTCTCACGCAAAATATTCCAGCAGCACTTGCAAGCACAGGTGCTGGCAAGGGCCCCCCCTGCAAGGGCTGTTGAGGCCATCTGCACAACCACTCAGCCAACTGTTCATCTGCAGCTGGATGTAGCCTCCACTGAAGGAAAAAGGACACTCTTTGGGCTGCAGTGTGAAAGACAAGAGACACAGGCAGGGGTAGGAAGAGACTCGGACACTCACGCTCTCTCTTGGTCTCACGATGCTGCCAGGCATAGAAGTTGAGCAGCTCTTTGCGGGCCCGTTTCTGCTTCTCCCTCTCCAGCACCCGCAGGTTGGCAGCCTCTGTGCGGGGCAGGCCGGGCTTCCGGCCCTTCCGTGTTACCTTCACCCAGCCTTCCTCATCTGGAACACCTTCCTCCTTGGCCGCTTTGGCTTCTTCCTGTAAAGACAGGAGGATGAGACAGCTCAGCGAGGTTGGGCTGCCAGCCCACCCAATGCACAGCTCCCCCACAGCCCCCCTTACAGTTACAGCTCCTGCTTCTGCACAAGATTTGAAGGAAGGTGTGGGACCAAGGGTGCAGGCATTCCTTCAATTCTCAGTCCCCAAACAAACTGCTTAGCTGGGTTCCCACCCCAGCCTGGCCTCACCTCTGCCATCTTTTTGTCATAGTCTTGCATGTAGGCGTCCACCTCAGCCTTGAGCTCCTCCTCATCCACAATTGAGGCGGCATAGCTGGCGATCCACTCTGAGACAGAGAGGGCAGAAGTCAGCAGTAGCCTCTGTTAGAATGAAGCCCTAGTGCGATGCCCTTGGGCAGCTCTAGAGAAAACCACTGTTACCATTTCTGTTCAGCCACCCCACTGCCACAGCTCAACCGGCTTGCGGCCCAGGCCACAGCCAGTAAAGCAATGGGAAGCAATGGGAAGAGCTTGCAACTTTCCCGAGCAGGAGTGGGCTAGCCTGAAGCCCAAGAGGTGTGACATTCAGGGTTGCATTGCTGCTGAGTGGTCACATCCAAAGTGCTGTCATCTTGACAGACACTTGGTGCCCGTTATTGAGCTGGACTTCCATTTTGAGGGCAAGATGCAGCCAGTTTCTGTGAATCTACGTGATACTGAAGAGATGCTGGGAAAAACTGCCCTTCCATTGTACCAAGTGACACCATTCTCCTGTAGGGTCACTAGACCAGACTCTGCAATGGCTAGTACAAGATTGCTACCTTGTAAATAATAAAAGCAGGACAATAAAACACTAGACATCTCCTGGCTCAGTACAGAATGGTGAGAACTGATCTGGGACATGCAGGGTAGGATTCAGCGAGGAAGTGGTATAGTTCTCCCCCAGCACTAGCTAGCAGGAAGACAACTAGGGCTGACTTACTGCTAATGCCAGTTTTCACAGGGTGACTCTCTGTTGATATCAGCAAGGGATCTTCCCGTGACAGGGCCTTGGCTGCCTGGACACCAGATGGTTTCCTGAACACCACATATGCTACCTGAAAGCCCTAAAAGAAAAAGACATCCAGGCCAGTCAGATATACCAGGGAAAACGGTAACGCAGCAAGGAGCTGCAGTACAAATAAAATAAAAATAAACTCACAAGTTGCAATGGGATAATAACAACAAGAAAAAACAGCATAAACTTACATACATAATCATGTTGCCCAATCCCCCCAAATGGTTTTAATGTACAGAATCATTTAGGTTGGAAAAGATCTTTAAAATCATGACGTCCAACCGTAAGCCTAACGCTACCAAGCCCACCACTAAATCATGTCCTTAAGAGCCATGTTCCAAATATTACCATTCAGTACTTGTGAACTTTTCTGACCACTCAAGCATCAGTACACATGCGCGTGCACGCACACACTCCCACCCCCCAAGCCTTACCGTTACAGTTTTGCAGTTGAAGAATTTGGACGTGAGTTTCTCTTTTTTCTCTCCCAGCCCCGGCTTCTCACAGATGTCCACAGACTGGACGTGGCCGCAGCGGGCGAACAGCCTGGACAGAGACTCCTTGACGAGAAGGAGAGAGTACAAACGGTACAGGGAGGCAGGAGCGATTCCTCTCCGCACCATCTTACCCACGGACCACCGACCGCCCCGGGGGGGG